GCACAAACAGCATGAACGATTTGTGTTTTCATGTATTTTGCTCCCTGAATGTAATTAAGCAACTATGAAGCTATGGCCCTGAATATAGAGAAAACACTTGCACAAAGTGAAGGCAGTTACATATTACTTCCTGGCTCAGATTGATGGGGAAAGATTTGAACTCTACATTTACTTTTATTTTTTGAAAACAACATATCTTTCAATTAAGCAGAAAAAGAAAAAAACAAAGAAAATAATTCTCACTATTAAAAATCTAGTAATCTCCTGCTTTCCAGGGTCAATGAGAGTCTCCTCACTATCAACGATCATTTAAGTAACATATTGAAACAACTGAGGTTTTGAGTAAATTGTTTCCATTAGAAAGTGGTAAGTAAGATATGGTATTTAGGCAAGGGCTTTCTTTGCACTACTCCCCTTCTATGCAGGAATGTCTCTGACCTTGCAGCAAAGGTCTGAGCAGTGGAGATGTTTGTAGGACAACTCAAAAGCAATTTCACAGAATCACAAAATCACAGAATCAGAGAAGGGCCAGGGTTGGAAGGGACCTCAAGGATCATGAATCTCCAACCCCTATTGCCACAGGCAAGGCCACCAACCTCCACATTTAATACCAAACCAGGCTGCCTAGGGCCCATCCAACCTGGCCTTGAACACCTCCAGGGACAGGGCATCCACAACCTCTCCGGGCAGCCTGTTCCAGCACCTCACCACTCTCTCTGTAAAGAACTTCCCCCTGACATCCAACCTAAATCTTCCCTCCTTCAACTTAATACCATTTCCCCTTGTCCTGCAGTTATCTACCCTTTCAAAGAGTTGATTCCCCTCCTGTTTGTAGGCTCCCTTTAGGTACTGGAAGGCTGCAATGAGGTCACCCCGCAGCCTTCTTTTCTCCAGGCTGAACAAGCCCAGCTCCCTCAGCCTGTCTTCACAGGGGAGGTGCTCCAGTCCCCTGATCATCTTTGTAGCTCTAGACCTTCTCCAACAGCTCTCTGTCTTTCTTTTGAGGGCTGGGGGCTCCAGACCTGGATACAGTACTCCAGATGGGGCCTCATGAGAGCAGAGTAGAGGGGAATAATTACCTCCCTGTCCCTGCTGCCACCTCTCTCCCGTCTTCTACCATTTGTTTTCCGAGCTGCAAGGGCACACTGCTGGCTCATGTTAAGCTTTTCATCCACCAAGACTCCCACGTCCTTCTCTGCAGGGCTGCTGTCAAGGACTGCTCCTTCCAGTCTGTATGGATGCTTGGGATTCTTCCGGCCCAAGTGCAAAACCTTGCACTTTGCTGTGTTGAACCTCATTAGGTTCACCCAGGCCCACCTATCAAGCATGCTGAGGTCCCTCTGAATGGCATCCCTTCCTTCCACCATGTCCATTGCACCACTCAGCTTGGTGTCATCACCAAACTTGCTGAGCGTGCACTTGATTCCGTCACCAATGTCATTGATAAAGATGTTAAAGAGCACCAGTCCCAAGATAGACCACCAGAGGATGCCGCTTGTTATTTTCACAGTTGAGTAAAATGAATTACATCTAGCTAATAGCAATAAACTTTGTATGTATCAGTCATGTCATTCATTATGGATCACTAAAAATAAATACTTCATTTAGAAATCACCATTAATGTGACAGAAAAATAACTTTTATAAAAGTATATAAGCAAAATTTTTAAAAAACAGCAGTCCTTAAGTACACAGTAATACAAATTCTCTACATGAGTTTGCTAAAATTTAATAAAGTCAGTTACTCCTAAAACTCTGACATAGAACTAATGCCAAAATATTCCATATTCTATATGAGAATTCTTAAATTTAGGATTACATTAAGCCTACTGGATCCTATATAGTTGTGTTGTGTTAACCTCATGACAAGCCCACAACAACAACAACAAAATGCCAAATACTAACAATGCAGAAAGAAATTCAAAGCTTCTCACATACTCACGTTACAATGCCTATGTTACAACTACCAAAAGATATCCTTGCAAGCTAGGCTGGGTATGTAGTTGGTCTTGGAGAATATATCCTCTCTGCTATTCTCAACAAGCAAAGAGAAAGTATCAGCCATATGCAGTAAGGGTGTTTCGTCTTACTCTTCAGGATGACAGAACACCAAAGGAGAATGGCTCCACTTGGAAAACATTCTTCTCTTTTTCTTTTGGTCCAAGCTTGTGGACTCAAAGATTTCCATCTGCCAGTACTCTTCCTGAGAATAGCATAATGCAAAATACCAGCAGGTAGTACTAACAACTGTTATGAAGATCAGAAACATGCTTCCTGCACGCAATCTCCTGCTCTTCCTTCATGGGACACAGTTTCAGGAAACCAGAGAAGCTAGTCTGTTCTGTTTTGAGATGTCAGATAGCAACCAGACCTCCTCACCTCTTCCAAACAGCAAAGCAAAAGAACTACAAAAATAAACATTGGTTTGTACTAATTTTGGAAATGTTTGTTATCTTGTGAGTGAAGCTATCTTTTGGCTTGAAGAACTAAGGAAGAATAAATGAAAAAGTGAAGTTTGGGCAGAGAGAAAGAAAATTTCTTCCCAAATGCAAGCATGGGCATAGAACCCTTGATTAGATATGTAACCATCAGTAAAAGGAAAAAAGAAAAATGCACTCCTTAGTTTCCAGACACTGCTGAAACACTATTTTTATTATTTCCTCTGTTCTTGAAAGAAGAGAGAACTGATATTTTTTATGCTGGTCTATGACCTGGAAGATTGGGGTTCATCTTCTGTGTGTCATTCTGACCAACTGCACCTTTCTTGGGAACCCCAGAGATGTGCTATCAGGTTCCCACATACAACAAGAAACAAATAAACCTAGAAGCTTTTTGTTTAATCTCTGTAATTAACAGTATAATCCCATTTTGGTTTAATTATTTCAAAACAGCTAAGCAAAAATGCTTAGGTGCTTTCCAAGTCCGCTTACATTTGACTGAATACCTACAAACTGTCTATGAAAACCCTTTGATAAATGAAGAGATTGCACTCCCTCATGTAAATAATATACTGTAAGGATGGATCCTGTATTACAGCAGTCCTTAGCAAGGAATTTATAAAAGCAGATTAGTTTGAGAGTTTGGCAACATTAAGGTGAATAATTCTCTTGCTAAGAGCAATTTTAAAAAACTGCAGAAGTCAAAATGCTTAACCAGTGTCAGCAGGGTATTAGTTGGCATGGTCTGCTGAGGGGACTGTACAATTCTCAGTTTTTGAGAATGATCAATGGATATATTTTCTTTCATTCTGGAAATATTACCCTTCTGCAGTAGTTTCTTCCATATAGTTTTTAATAATAACACAAGTTCTGCTCATAAAAGACATTCTGCCAAGTTTACAGTCCCAATCTAGCACATCTAGGATGCAAAGATCCCAGTTTGGGAACTTCCACAGCTTTCACAGCTTAGGCATGAATGTTTAGTGTCAGGGCAAAAAGTCAGTGCAACCCTTCTAACCAGACGTTAAATACCATCTTCTGTAAAATCCAAAATTAAGCAACTGCATGCTCATGTGAAAGCCAGTTTTTTGGTTTTTTTTTTGCCTTTGTACATCTCTGTTCCACTAACCTCGATTAAGCCACAAAAAATTATGCAAGCTCAAGATTTTATCTGGTTCCTGGCTTTTAAAACGGAGAGCTGAAACATATTCCAAACCATCTTTTAGCAAAACATAATCATAATTTTTGCAGAAGAATAATAAATTATGGAGAACTATCCTAATGGAAGAAAAAAAGTTACCTTAAAATATTAATTGAACATTTTAAGAACATAAATGCATTATGCTGTGCATTAAACTTACATATAATTTAGACTGTGCATTAATTTGTGCTCATTACTGGGTACTTTTGACAGAGGACAGTCCTTGTCCTGCTCCTGTCCTGTGTCAAGCTCCTTTTACTCAGTACCTACTCTGACAGTCCATATAGAAGCTACTTCACTACTACCATCTGCTCCACTACTAGTCCTTGAGGCTGACCTCTTCTTTGCATGCCACTGACAGCTTGTCATGGTTTTATGATGTTTGGTTATCAGTATTTCGCATCATAACATCATGTAGTGTATTGGGAGTTAAAGAGTTAATGCTCCAGGTCCTGGAAGAGAAGAACTGCTACATTCCTCAGAGGACTGCTCGCTCTTCTGTTATCATTTCTGCTCAGGGGGAAAAGATACAAAGGTCACATGCCAGTCCTTTCAATTGTCTGGCTCTTCTCTTCACAGCATTAGAGTAAGGCCTTCGGCTTTCAGACACTCATTTTATTTGATTTATTAGTTTCAATTCTAATTATATTGTATTTTATTATAGTGTGCTATCTTGCATTCCAATATCTTATTTAGTAAAATTGTTTCTCCTCAGATTGCTGCTGCTGTTCTGTTTTTGGGCCCATCACTCTATTCTTTTCCCCTTTTTTCCCATTTTTCCCTTCTGGGGTGTGGGTCTGTGGGTCCCTTTGCACTGCTAGTCACAGAACTGGGCCGAACCAGACCATAAGCCATTGACAAAACTGTTTTTTTATTTGTTTGTTTGAAGAGTCCCACACTAGGCAATACACCCGAAGTCACTCTCATCCCATCCCATCTGCTACTCACACAATGCTGAGCACATTTCTGTTCCAAGATCAGTTCTGCTAGTTGACCCCTTCAAGCCAAATACCTAATGTAGGCTACCTCATGGTGCCTGTAATTTCAGACTGCATACAGGGCTAAAATGACCAACACTGAACATTATAGGCTTTTGAGATTGGACAGAACATACACGCCACTGTTAATAGACAACTTAGAACATTAAGAACAGTAACTATATTACTGACTGCTATCTCATGTCACTTCTTGCCCCTCAAAGTGCCCCTACCTTAAAAAAAGTCAATACAAACATAATTACAAGAAGGAGGTTATGTGGACGGTCTCCAGTGAATTCCTGTGTTTCCTTCATGCTCAGGTATTTATTCAGCCATTAGGGGTGAAAGATTTGGTGCTGAGCACATAAGGCTAGATAATACTCACTGCAACCGCTTCCAGGATCTGTTTAACAGCATCAGCAGCATCTCGTTCACTGTAATAACCCTTTTCCACAATCCTATAAAAAAAAAGCAGTGAGAAAAATTGTGTTCAAGATTATGCATTAAGATAAATTAACTCTGCAGACAAAAGCTTCTTTGGAAAAATGTGTGAGAAAATAATCAATTTTAAATACTCTGAGGAGCGTGGAGTCCCCTCTAAAGTATAGGAAATAGTCCTTTGGCAATTCAGGTTATCATTGATTTCAGTTAATGAGAAGACAGAGTTAAGGTGTCAACTCAGTAAGGTGATAGGTAACGTAAGGGCTGCTCCAAAAGTAATGCCTCTTATTTTATTATGATGGCCCACCAATATTCTGTTTCACATTGTTGCCGTGACACAGATGGCAGCAGAGGTGCAAAGTGACCAAATGTGTTTGACAACAAAGTGCATATGAAGCAAAAGTGTGTCAATGAATTCCTCCATGCAGAAAAAGATGCAAGCATTGACATTCATTGACACTCATTGACATTTGCTGAATTTTTATGGAGTAGATGTGAACACAGAGAAATGGTAGGTGGTACATTTCAACAGTGGTGACAGTGACAAGTGGGTAATCTATGCTGGTGGAGATTTTTATGAGGGCAGCATACAGCTTTTCTTCATTAATGTTGAAAATGCATAGCTCATGGCAGTGACTATGTTGAAAAATAGAATTTGCTCTACCAAATAGTGTTCTTGTACTCTTTGTAACTCTTACTGTTTCCATGAAAATAAACAGCAGCCATTACTTTTGGAGGGATCTATAAACGTACACATTCAATTGAAAAGTCTTGCAGTTTTCTGAAATTGAAGAAATATGAAATGCTTTCATACAGATATAACCAGAAATCCTTTAGGAATGGCTGTTTTTTCTTTATTCTTTTTCTTTTCTTTTCTTTTTTTTTTTTTTTCATTGATAGTTATGTTTTTGTACTCCATTTATGTAAATGGAGTAAAATGAGGTTTATGGCAAAAAAGCATTATGCCAATGCCAGTACAGATCTGGATTGCTTAGAAGAAATGCGTGGTGTGAAAACATTAATTTCAAATTATCCCTTCATCTCCTTGGCTACAACAATCATTCTTCCCCCTTCAGCATGAAAGCAGGGGCTCTGTCATTAAAAAAATATAGCTTCATTAAAAGTGAAACAATATATTTTTCTTTTTTTTAATGTAAACAGCCAATATGTTTTTTAGTACAAATGACATACAAAACTAAGCTTGTAAATGTTCTTATTGGGCACAGCATTTGATGAGTTCCATTGCACTTATGAGCTCTGAAGATCTAGAAAATCCTTTTTTTCCTCTTGGAAAAGGGATGCTTTTATATCAATTAAATTGTGCTTATATCATACCAACACAAAGGTAAAACAATGCAAAGTTTACTGTGTGACCAACCTGACTCAGATAACTGTATGTCAGTATTTGTAGGACAGTGTTTTCATTATTCACACTAAAATACTCAGTGGAAGAAGGGCACAGATCCTAAAGATGAAGCAGTTGTGAATTTATACTTTACAGTAAATGTGGGCCCATATTTTAAGACAGCAACACAAGACAACTGTAGAACTAGTGCTCAATGCACATGGCTCACCAGCTTAGGCTGCAAGTGAGTAGTATGCACTAGCAAGCCAATTATTCCTCGTGAGATACGCAGCTAATTTCCTCTTTTTTCAGAATTCTAGAAAACAGACTTAATAAGAATAAAAACACAACTATTAATTAATGACAATATAGCAAGTAGAAAGACTAATCTTCTGTAACAGCAGTAAATGAAAAACTATTCATTCACACTTATTCATTCTATGTATTTTTAGGGGCAGCCTGGCTTAAAACTGAAAACCAGCTCCGAGGCAATAAAGATGAGTACCTAAAAAAGATTCCTGCAATTCAGGTCCTGTAATAATGCTGGGGGATCATCTACATATCTATGCATATTTCTGCACCCTACTTGCAGTAGTTAACCTAAGACAGATGGTAGGTGTGACACTGCTTTATTATCATAACACCTGAAGCCAATGAAGCTTCTTTACAAGGAATTTTCTATTTCAGCTTGCATTTTAGCAATGAATCATTGCCCTTTCTCTCCATAAAGGAAAAGATATCTGCAGAAATGTCTTATTCTGTTATTATGGAAATTAAAAAAAATATTTATGCTTAGCTTATAGAAGGATCTTTAAGAAACACTTCTTGGATGAAGAAAAAGCGAACCTTCACTGAGAGAACAGAAAGACAAGAACATTAATGGTAAGGAGCTAATTAATTCCTGCCTTTGATATGTAAATGGAAAGTCAAGTAGATCAGAGCTTGAGGAAAAAAAGTGGGAGGAAGACAGAAGGCAACTGAGAAGAAAGTATACGGGAATGCTATTTCAAGGTCTGAGAAAAAAGAGGTTGGAAGAATTATAAATTTGGTGGCACAAACGTTCAGAAAATTTAAGATAGCCCTTCAAATTGATGATGACATTATAGAGAAAGCAAAAAATATTATACCAGTGATAGAAATAATCCATATTTTCACTGTGCAGAATCACATTTATGTATACACATTTAATGAAATACATTGATAATACACAGCCAGACACACCTAACAGATACACATCATGTTGCAGATCTCCTAAAAGGCCACATGCCTGAATGAATCTAAGACAAATCCTTTTTCTGCTGTAAGGAAAAGCACTTCTCAAAGGCCTCTACTCACTGCTTTTCTATGGGGCATCTGGGAATGCTGGTACCCAATTATAAAAACATAGGACTGAACAAAACCAGCTATAGTGGATACTGCCATGCAAATGCAAAGGCAGCCTGCAGAAAGGGTGCAGCCTTTTTCCTGTGATCTATTCTATGTAGCAGACAGCTGAAATTTCACAGCCTCCACCTGATCATCAAGACTATTCACAGAATCGCACAATGGCCTGGGCTGGAAGGCACCTCAAAGATCATAAGCTCCAATAGCTCCCCCCTCCCCCACCACAAAGAGGGCCACCAACATGTTCAATAACTTGCAGTGATGCTCGCTAGCTCCCACCTAGTCTTCGTATCCTTTCTGTTCTGTATATTGTGAGGCTTCTGACTATATAGATATTGCAGTCTTGTGGGCACTCTTTAGTGTAGCTGTGAAGATCTCTAGTGCTGCCTTTCTATGAAAGAGAAGGTTCCTCTGCTGCTTATGCCCTTCATTATGCGCATCTTCATTGCAGCTATGGCATAAACTTCCATAGGTGTTTCCCACTAGTTTGCAGCCTGCAGATTAAGTTGGAAAGAACACAAGCTGTATTCTACTCCTGTTGGAACACTCTCCTTATAATTTGGGATTGAGCTTTAATTCATCACATCCTTATCAAGCCACTGAAATCGAGAGGGGATCACAATAAAGGCATGCAGAGAGTGTCCCCGCTTACTCTGCTGAAACTTTGTTACTGATGGAAAAGAAGAGTAGGAGCGTAGTCCACCTAAATGTAATACATTTGAGCTGAAAATCAATGAGGAAGGAGCTGAGGAATCCTGATAATATCATTTTAAAATCAATTTGCAGAGCAGCATTAAAATTACATTGATACACAATTGTGCAGTTGACTGTAGCACAGGTATCTGGAGACAAGCACGCTAGGTGACAAGATGAAGTAATCAACTTCCCACAGAGACAAAAAAATGAACATTTTATCATGAAAGGATAGCACGAGGCTGGCTGCTGGCCCTCCAGTGAGGTCCTGGCCAGACATAAGTTGGGGCTGGGTGTCCTTCCTCAGGCAGCACAGACTCAGGGAGATCACCAGCCTTTCAAAGCAGCAGCTGCTGAAACTTGTGATTCTCAGCACTAGCAGGTGGGAGAAGCAAATACTGAGGAGGAACCAAACTGCACAAGGATTGGTTTCTGCACCACATGCCGGACCCCAAAACTGAAAGTCTTTTCCTGATTGTTTTTCTTAGGAAGAGAAATCCATTGCAAAGTCTATCTCCACAATTTTGAACAGAAGCTGTTTTAGTGACCCTTTGTGACCAAGTAAATCTTGCTTACTTTAGCAAACTGACCTTTTCCTCCTCCACTCTCCATACTGACACATTCTCCTATTCTTAGCTTTAACTCCCCACTTCCTTCCTACATAGGCCAAACTTCCCAACCTCCAGCTCAGACTGAAATCTCAGCACAGAAAGTCTTGCTTCCTTCACCTCAGAACGATAAGTGCAGGTAATTTTTATGTAAATCAATCTTAACAGTTATTATAATATTTGCAAATTCTAGCCAATGCCTGATATTGTTATTAGAAATACCATTACTCCAAGCTATGGAGCTGCTTCTATAACAATATTAAGAAATACATAATTTAGCTTTCAAATGCCTATAAATGCATTCAGCTGTCCGGAAGAAAAAAAAAATAAAATCACTTCTACCTTGTATTTCTTTACCAGCTTCCAACATTATTTCTCTTCATATGTTGATGCTAAGCTTATATTTGCTTTTTTGATCATTCGTTATAAATATCACAACATCAGAAAAAGGTATCACTCTTGTTAGGGCTATTTTTATTCTTTTTCTGGCTGGCTTTTATGTCACACTCCTGTACCATGTTACTGGTGGTCTGCATCCCATTACATCACATGCAGTACTACTGAGATACTTGCTTATACAAATACAAGATCTATTTGAATAGCACTGTGTGCTGATTTTTTCAATATTTGATTTTATATAATGAACGTTCATTTATCTAAAATTCTCTGGTTACCATGGAGATTTTCTCTGTACATATTCACTTAATTCTTACATAAAGATAATTTAAAAATAAAATTAACGTACTTCTACAAAATAAAGTAAGCCTGAAAAATAGTCAGAAACAGGGAAAGAAAATGATATCTATTCAATAGCAAAAAAGTTTTCTACAAAGAACACCTTTCCAATGAGTGATTCATAAAATGGCCCATGCCTCTACTGAGAAGGTTTTGATTCCTTATTGTTTTGATGCATTTGTTTAGTTAAAAAGTAAAGCTTCCTCTTTAACTATGGATGTATTTTTCTTAATAAAGCATTGAAGAATAGTAT